ATTTAACATAAAATATCATGAAATATGGAATACAAGAAGGAACATAAAGGTTTATAACAAACAACATTATATTTATTTTTGTGTAAATGATGGACATGCATAGAGTTTACTATTGTTTGGTGTTATGTCCCTTTGGCTGTGAAATATTTTTATCTGAGCTCACAAAAGTTGAATGAATTCTAAAGCTGAGAAATGCTGAATAAACTGTAGCTTTAAAAGAGTATTTCAAAGAAATATAAGAGTATTTAAAAGAAATGTTCTGTATGTTTGTAATATAGTTTGGAAATGTTCGTACATATGTGCATGCGTGAAACATTTGACCGCCCAGGGTTGAGACGAGAATCCTTTTAAGACTATATCTTGTAGCAAGAAGAGAGAGAGAATGAGCAAGCTCATGTCTGCTATTTATAATTAATATAATCACATGACATAATTACAGAAAATTGGTGGGAAAACTTGACTTGGTCATGCACTGGACAAATATTTGAACGTGGGTGGATAACTTGTGTGTAAAATTAGTTTTTCCTGAAAATCTGTATAAAGCTGAATAAAATCTTATAAAAAAGTTTTAAAAGTAATTATCTGTTGGATTGTCTTACAATATGTCCAGTCTGTGGCATTATTCAGGCTAATAAAACAATCGTTCTTTTTTTTCATGTTGTATTGATAATGTTAAAATATCTTTACACCAAGTTTAACTGAATTTTAACTGAATATTTCTCAAAACAAAGCCAATAATGTTTTTCTTCCTTTCCAGCCATGTTCATACAAGATATTTTCTCTTTATTTGTATTATTATTCTTTATATAAAAATATATGCAAGCAAATATATGGAAATAGATGCCGACAGTATGAAGAAAATTGAACAAATATACATTAAAACAGCATAATCTGTATATAAGGATTTTCAATTCAACATGACAAAGGCGATGTTTGTTTTTTCCGTATATTTTTCTTCATAAAAATATATAAAATATTGCCATGTGTCAAAATTTATTCTTTCTGAAAATTCATTTTCTTTGGCCTCAACACAAGCCCAATATAAACCTGTAGCTCTACTCCTTTTCAACAACATTCGTATAAACAAGAAGAATATCGGGCCAGTTTTATATTCAATTCACATATGAATTTGAATCTATCTTATATATCTATAAGTCTACCATTTGTTCATGTTTAGAATATATGATCTAGTGCCCCTGCTATTTACCCTGAGCTCCTTGATAAGATCCAAAGAAGAATCTGCAATATTATTGGTCCTGATCTGGTGGCTCAGCTTCAGTCACTTTCCCACCACCATAAGGTTGACTCTCTATGTTTTTTCCATAAATACTTTCATGGTAGTTGTCCAAATGAGCTCTTTGCTATGGTACCTAGTTTTTTTTTATTTAAACTCAGCACTAGACTGGCATCAAGATCTCATCAACTTACAGTTGAGCTGGCTAGATTTCACTGTAAATTGTATGCTAACAGTTTCTTCTCTGGCACTTCTTGCTTCGGCTCCATGCTTTCCAACCAACTTTAATCTGCAAAAATTTAAATGCAATGTCAATCACTATCTACTGTACATCTGATTACTCTCTCTTCTCTTTCCGCTCATCATTAATGTTTCTGTTCCTAATTCTTCCACACCCTGTATTCCCTCGTGTTTTTAGGGGCATTTCCAATTAAAAGAAAAACGTCAACTTAATTCAAAGGCAGCTTAAATTCTTCACATTTTCTGGTCGACTCAATTCAAAAATGGATAACCAAAAATATAAATACCTTTTTTCTTTTTGTGTCTAAGTTATGTCAAGATAATTAGCCAAGTCACAGGCAATAAAATGATAAAGAAAACTAAAAAAAATATTTATCAGTAAAATGAATAATGAAAATTCTTCAAGCTCATAGCTAAGAAAAAAATTATAAATTACAATAATGAAGAATAATAAAAACAGTTTTTTATGTCATTCTATGATTCATTAGTCCAAAGATTAATCAGTTTTATTACAGAAGGACATTTGAACCTTCACATCTCTTAATACTTTGACAAGTAGTTTTTAGTTTTCATTTCATAGCTTTATATTTTCAGATTCATGGCATTAACGCTCAGTAAGCTAATTTTAGGAAAAATAGTTTAAATTGATTTACTGTATATATTTGTGTATCATGTGGTTTTTGAAGACCTAATTTTTAAGCTGTTGCAACCTACGGAAGGTTGGTGACTCATTGTGGAATTCACTTGACTCACTTCTAGCAGTTGACTGCTTCTACGCGTCTCTGGCGTATCTTATATGTGTTGTCCTTGTCCTAAGTATTATTGTTCATAACCAACCCTCATTTGATTATTCAGTAACCTTCCCTAGGTTACAACAGCTTAAAAATTCGGCCTTGTGCCACATCTGACCAATCACCCCACTTGGTCAGATGTGGCACAAGGCCGAATTTAATGTGGAGTATTCGAATGTGTAGTCTCGGCCAAAAATTCCCTGTAGACCACAAATAAGCGGGGTCGGGTTGCTGTTTCCCAAGATGAGACTCTGCCCTTTGACATAGCCTCATCTGGGGATCCTCTCTGCCTGGAGGCAGAGTTTGACCAGCACAGCTGGAGATGAATCTCCAACTCCTGACCAACATACAGTATTTACTACTGTATGTGAATGGAGACATACCTATTATAATCTGTAGATATGCTACAACATAAGCTAATTTTAAGGGGGTTGAAAAATGAATTGTTTACACCAATTTAGGATGAAAATGCCCTAAGAAAATTAAATGACTCCCATTGTGATACTATGGACACCTACATAGAAAGGGAAGAGATGGTTTTATCGTGATAATCAAATGTTTCTCTTTGATGGACCAGCAAATGACCTCTTTTGAAGTTCAATCTTCTAAGTGGCATCCATTTTAATTGTAGGGGAATGGGAAGTAAAAGAGCAGATTAAAGGTCAAGTGATGACAAAACTGGAAATAGGGTATATCCGGTTGCTGATTCCTATTAACTATAATACTTGGTGTCAAGAAAGAATTCTAGTTCGCTCTTGGTGGGAGACGAATTTGTCTGTTGTGTGGTCTCTATGCTGTCCATTAGTATTGTCAACTACTATGTTAGAACAATTCAATGGGCAAGGAGTTGGTAGGGGGAAGAGCTGAGTTGCTAGACCATCATAGCAGACGTTGTCCAAAGTATCAACTACCTATCCACTCAGATAAGCCGGTCAGTGGAAAGTTTGGGTGAAGTGTTGCATTGTGTGTTTACACCGTTATCCACTCCAAAATTTGTTCTGCATCTGAAGCTGTGATGTGGCAGAATTGGAAGGAACTTGCATATTATGAGCTCCTTTCACAAAATAAGACATTGAATTCAGGGAAGAATAGATCCCAGTATTTTTTTATACTAAAGTTCACCCAATACAAGGCTCCAGTTACTGAATGAGGTGTGAGAAGAAGTGGTAGGAAGTGAAAATCATGATGATGAGGATAGATGATTGATTGAGAGGTTAAGTTTGGGAGTCAGTTTCATAAAGTAGCATCTTGGGAAAAAGCTGAATGGAACTTCCTCTTTACAATTGGAATATGGAAGAAATGAGAGTGATTCAACTGTGAAGATTTGCACTGAAAGAACTCAAGAATGGAGCTCATCTGAACATTTACTGTAGAAATAGAGACAGAACAGTGTTAGGCTTGCGACACTTGCATCTGTAGAGAAGAAGTTATAGAATAGAAAAAAAACTCGTCCTTTCCAAAGATTACATCAATGATTCTGAACCCTGTCAAGACTGAAAAGAGAGGATTGTCAGATATGGAAATAAAAAAACTTCATTTTTGGTATTTGTCTATATTTGGTATATATCTATATGAGGTATTGTAACTATTTACATTGTTCTGTCTGTTGTCCTCATCTTTATGGCCATATTCACAAAATTTCGGCCATTGTACACTCCAGCGCCAAGAACACGTGACCCAGTGGATAAAAGCATTGGTTGAAATAATCCAAAAGTGACTTAATCCAAAGAGTTGAGAGTTCAATACCTGGCCACAGCAGAGGTTAACAAAAATTTGGAGAATTGAGTTACTAAAGGGAATTAACTGAAACTGAGATATCCAGAAAAGGTATGGCATGTGGAATTAGAAAAAAAAACTATATCCAGGGTTCTAAATAAAGGTTTCAGTTTGAAATTCCAATGTATATCACCTGAAGAAGGCCAGAGTATACAATGGTTGAAACATTGTGAATATGGCAATGAAGATGAGAACAACAGACCATTTTTCTAGCATCTTTCGCAATGGATTGTATATCTGTGTTCTTTCTGAGGGTGGAAGTGAACTTGAAACCCAACAGACCATTGGTTCACAACCTTTTCTACCCAATGCACCCTTTTCACCGTAAGTCAGAAGGTCTCCCCTGATCCTATTTTCCAGGATTGTCCAACTCAAAAGGTGCGTCCCAAATAATATGCATATCTTCATTATTTTCCATATTAGTAAATGTAGCTGTCTCTTCTAATCAAACAGCTTCTTCTCTTACACTTCCTGTCTGTGGAATTCCCTTCCTCTTATTTGTTTCCCTGATATCTATAATCTTCAAATATTCAAGTGTAATGTCAACATCTTCTGATGCTTCGATCGTCTTCCCCGTCCTTCTCTATATCCTTTCCTCACACATGCCTCTTTACTCTTGTTCTCAACCCTCTGTAACCCCCTGCATGCTAGTGGCACTCCCACCTTGCTTGGGGTGAAATGTAAAAAAATATACATTTATCAGGATTATTTTTATAGAGGAGTTTTACAAATTTATGATTGATTTGTTTTTTTTTACAATTTATCAACACTTTGCAGGTTATTTAAAGCCAGAAAATATTTTTAGATTGTAAGAATTTATTGTTTGAGATAATAATAATTTAGTGACATATCAAGGAAGAGAAGTAGATTCATTACCATCCCCAAGGGCTTTTGTGCATAAGTGAACAAACATAATAGGAATTAGAACTCAGCTCTCTGATTAACAATTCCAAACTTAAAGCACCTGGTATTCCCAAGCGGTTACCCATCTAGTTACTAACCAGGCTCGACGTTGCTTAACTTCAGTAATCATAAGGGAACTGGTGTTTCAATGTGATATGGATGGAAGCCTTTTTTACAAATTTAATACTAATAATGTTCAGTAATTTGTTTTAATTTATAACTAACTAGCAGTAGAGCCCGGCGTTGCCCGGGGATGTAACAGTAAGAGATAGATCAAGTATCGACCATCATAAAGACTGAAAAATAAAATTGACAAAGATTATTATTTAATGTTGACGGACACGCATGTCTCAATTAGTTTTTGTTTTTTGTTTTTGTTTTTTTTTACGAATTGGTCAAACCCAAACTCAAACAAAAACATTGTTTTCAATCGTTATGAGTCTATCAATTGAATGGAATTTTATTATAAAAAATTGTCTTGTAAATGGAATTTTTAAAGCATTCTGAATGTAGAAATAAAGAAAAAAGTGTGCAAGACAATAAGAAACACTACCTGCCAAAAAAAAAGGGGAAGTTTTGTTGAAATCGGTTGAAAAATGTAGGAAATCCAATCCCATATATAAATGAACACACACACACACAAACAACCTAGGTTTTATAATAAGTGTAACTCGATATGAGTTGTCCCCCTTTCATTTTCGCGATGCCTCTTAATCATGTTTTCAAATTGATTTCGTGCAAAAACAATTGTGTTTTCCAATTTTTGGCGCTGTCAGAACCACCGCAAGATAATTTTACGTAGTCCTGTGAAGTTTTGTTGAAATCGGTTGAAAAATGTAGGAAATCCGATCCAATATACAAACGTACAGACACACACACACACACACACACACAACCTGGGTTTTATAATAAGAATGATTATTAAATAAATAAACTGAAGCATACATCAATAAACAAAAAGTTCAATAGAATGCCAGTAAATGCTCTCTTTTATAATAAACAGTATTAACAACATTTACCGGCCTGAATGTCCGAGAAATTTTAATACTGTTTATTATAAAACAGAGCATTTACTTAAATATTTCTATCTATGAAAATAATGTATAAAACAGAAAATATATTAAAATAATTGTCGGACTTAGTCCATTTCATAATATATGACATCATTTGTTTATGTTAAGATACGCTTTAAGTAGATATAAGCATTCAAGAGAAATCATGGGAAATTTGTAGTTTAAAAAACAGTAATTTGACCTTGCTAACCTGACACTTCCTCTGTAGCTAAATGGTATAGCACGTCAGGCTATATGATGGTTCTGTGTAGGATAGAGTTTCGATTCCTGTTGGAGGACACATATTTTCTATGAAATTTTCTCAGACATTCAGGTTGGTAAATGTTGTTAATACTGTTTATTATAAAACTGAGCATTTACTTAAATATTTGTATCAATGCAAATAATGTATGAACATAAAATATATTAAAAAAATTGTCAAACTTAGTCCATTTCATATGTGTGTGTGTGTATATTCCAAAGGTTGTCATCACTGGGGGAAGCTCCCACTGTCTATAAAATACTTCTGTGGCATGCATCTCAAATAATTTTTGACAACTAAGTCCAGCTCCAAGCTGGAGAATTAGTGAAGGTAGACAACTGGTGCTTGATAAGCTGTTGCTTTGAGCAAATGTAGCTCAACAGCCCAGGAAGGCAGTTCATCTAGTGGAGGGGAAAATCCTGATTTAAAACATTTGTTACCTTGCAGCCATATCCAAACATAGTAAAGGCTTATAAAAGTAAATCCAGACAGAAAACCTAGAGTGGAGCCCTGAAGGCAGTTGGCTGCCAACACTGACAACATTCCGGAAACTCCTGCAATCAAGCTAGCTGGCTGCAAATATAATGTTTGCTTTGGTTTGATTTGTTTTACAGCATATCAACCTCAATGGCTTATTTAATGCTGACAAAATTTTTATTGTTGCTAATATTTTTTTTTTTCAAATATCTATTTCTGGTAACACTTTTTCCTTCAAAAAATCTATTTCTGGTAATATTTTTCCTTCAGATATGTATCACTGGTAATAATTTTCCAAAAAAATGTATAGCTGGTAATATTTTTTTATAAAGTATTTCTTGTATTAAAACCTATTTTTACATTTTCATACTGTTTTGATCCCCAGTTTGGAGTTAACTATTTGCCCACAACTGGGACCCTAACAGGTGCTACCACTCAGAGTCAGGGTGGACCTGGGAACACCAGCAATTAAGAGGTGGTTCCATGCTCTTCAAAACCTCCTGATCAGAGGCCTTGCTGCTGGATGTAGTTTATCATCTTACCCAGGACGGGCAAATATTATGTCTTTAATTCCTATGGATCTTATCAGAGTGGGCATGTAGTTTGTGTAGCACACGACCTCTATATACCATGGCTGAACTCTGGAGAATTTGGTTAGTTAATTTTGTTTAGCAACATATCAAGCCCTATAGATTATTTAATGCTGAAATCTAAATATTTTGAATACAATTTTATGAATTCAACTAAATATATTTTGAAAGCAATTGTATGCCTTTAACTCCTCATAAAATGTATTTTTGGTCATTTTGCTATAAAATATATTGTTGGTAATGTAATTTTACTACAAATATGTATTGTTGGTTGGTAATTTTTCTTTAAGAATGTACTTTTATACATTCAGTGTTTTGATTCTTGTTTTGGGGTTCAATATTTTTGTGATGTCAACAAACACTCAGTGCCACTTTTGTAATGTCAATGAATACTTGTTACTTTTGAAGTGCTTGTTGTAGTAGAGACTTTGTAATTGCAGATACAACTATAGTACGCCGTTGAACAATACTGGTGTCAGACTCCTTTGAATAGCACTCACACTAATAGTACTTGCTCAATAATGCTCACTCGAATAGTAACCACCGTATAGTGATCCAAATAGAGAAATAGTATAGTAAATAGAGTAGAGAATAGTGGTCCATTATAGAGGATAGAGTAGAAATAGCAATCAGTTAGACATCACGTAACTTCCTACTTATGCGTTTCCTCTATGGTCACATGGTCTATTTAATTCAATAATGGGATCGCCCGTGTTTGCAATTATTTACACTATTTCAATCACCTGAAGAAGACTGGAGCGTACAGCATCCAAAATGTCACAAATATAGCAACAAAGATGAGGACAACAGTCCGAACAAGGTAAATAGTGTGAATAATTACAATACCTCATCTCAGAAATATATACAGATCCTGAAGAAGGCATGAGCGTACTGTGGCTGAAATGTTGTGAATATAGTAATGAAAATGAAGACAACAGTCCAAGCAATGTAAATAGTGTAAATACCTTACAATATCTCATCTCAGAAATATAGACAGATCCTGAAGAAGGCAGGAGCGTATTGTGGCTGAAATGTTGTGAATATGGCAATGAAGATGAGGACAACAGTCTGAACGATGTAAATAATTACAATACCTCATCTTAGAAATATAGACAGATCCTGAAGAAGCAAGGCACTAAGATACAAGGGATTACTGGATGGGAAATAATTAAAAAAAACAAACATTATCAAGGAGTAAGAACAATGGCAGAGTAATCAGAAAGACAGTAGATAATGATTAACATTGCATTTAAATATTAAAATATTGCTAAAAATCAAAAAATAATAACTACAGTGGTACCTCAGTTTTCAAATTTAATTAATTCCTGAAGGCTGTTTGTGAACCAAAAAGTTTGAAAACTGAAACAATTTTCCCATAGGAATCAATGTAAAATGGATTAATCCATTCCTGGATGATTGCTTATTCAAACTTTCAGAACAGTATTTTGTGTACAAGTTTATACACAAAACCAATGAAAATCATTAGATCTAAAAATACACAACTGAATAAAGAATAAAGCTGTAACAGAGAGATGCACATGACTGCACACACACAAATATAATGTTTATTGATTGAAGATGGAAAACATAATCTTCCGTGAAAGTTACAAACTGTGTCAGCGCTATTAATAGGAAAGAATCTAAAACAAGGATATATGAAACCTGAGACGGCTGATGGATAAAGAATAAATTTCAAATCGGGTTGGCGAGGACTTGTTTATAAACAAATGCAAAAGGGCAGGAGGCAATGTTTAATTTAGGTCATTTTAAAAAAAAAAAAAAATAGACGAAAATAATATTTATGATAAAAACATATTGAAGTAAATTGGATCGGGGAGGTAAGATCAGTGTATGTTTACCGCTAGTGAAATCTGATCTAAACATAAGTTGTATCTGCTGAATTTGGTCATCAAAATGACAATTGAAATGAACATTGAACTTATTAATTTTATCCACTAAGAGATTTGAAATAGATCCGAATTTAAACTTTGCTTATGGCAACAATCGTGTTAAGCGCGTGAACAACCTGGCTTATAACTTTCGGTTTGCTATATAAACGCGAGTTTTGCTGAATTGGGGAGACTTGGGCATTAGACGAGAGTGACGTTGAGAGAGACTGTCGTTGCAGTGAGTCGGTCCAGTGGCGAGTCAGAGATAAGTACTTCAAGAAATATTGTCGTTGTAGCAGTCGCATTCGCATTGAAAAGTCACTGAAACTTAACGTTTGTCACTTACGACAACCAACTGAAAAGCTACACTTCCACGTAGAGCTGGAATTACGAGTCACATATCCTCCCAAATTGATTTGGAATGAGTTAATCACACACACACACCTCTCTCTGTTGGTATAATTGGTAGAGGAGTGGTCCTCTGTTTTTATGTTAATTGCTTTTCTATCCTTTCTGTAAACTCTTTTCTACTGTTGTTGTTTTCTTATATAAAAGACATCAATATTTCACCCATTTTTGTTCGGCTTCTGCAGATATTATTTCCTTTTTTGCCACATTCTAATTTTCCTGCTGCCCACCCTCACAGCCATGCCTACATCCCCAATCAACCGTGAACGTATGGACAACACCCCACTTACTGGATCTAAAAACTAACACAACGTGTGCAGCAGGCAGAACTTGGCCAGTGACCGGTCGAAAAATCTACGGGTACTCAGGGAGCGTGCGGCCAGCTACCTGAGTTCGGTTCAGACCAAGTGGGCGCCTCAACCCAAAGAGGAAGACGCCGGAGGTTGAGGGGCTGAAGGGACAAGTGGTAGAATGCTGCATAT